CCCCCCCCCTCTCCCAGAGCAGGAGATTCTCTTCATGGTCTTAACACTCACCATGAGTGGCTTGGGTCGGTGAGAGTCATCCGTCGCCGACGGTGGCGTCATGGACGGAGTCGAGGCCGACATCTTCTGCTGCAGGTGCTCCAACAGAGCATTTTTATAGCTTGTGAACGAATCTAGGCGCGCGCTGATTGCGTCAGGTCCTTGCGAAGCGAGGTGCCGCACGCCCTCGGGGTCAAACAGATATATTAGCTTTTAAGCACGTCCTGCATGCCCTGGGGCAAATAAGAGTATTGCTCCATCCTCACAGAGGGTCAGTCGTAACGACTCAGGTGTAGATTGACTACTAGCGCTTCCAAGTGCAGCAGGGCTGCCGTAGCTCTTTCGCCAAGAGGAAGCTTGGTTAAGGTCGGTGACCGTCGTTCAATACTTAGAACCAGTACGAGTGTAGCGAACTGCTTGTTGTTTAAGTGTAGCCACACCATCTTGTGTGATTCACACCTTTCATACAAGGGCACGTGAAACTCCTTTACAAAGTGACTGCTTCACCAGCAGCTACTACCCCCTGAAATTCCACTCCACACTTTGCGCTTTATTTTGCCAGCTCTACAGAGCATACCCGCATCGGAAGTATATCAAGTGCGCAAAGTCAAATGGATCATCGACCTCCCACCGTAAGCGAACTTCGCGACCGACAGCTTAAGAAAAAGACCTTGTGAGCATACTGAGGGTGTTCACTCATGAGGACGGTTTTAATTATTTTCCAAATTCCGACTGGATACCTCCGCCTTCATTTTGCAGTACACGTTCCTACGTTTCACCAAGGATGGAAACTCATCGGCGGAAAGGGTATTTACACCCGCCGTTGAGTCCATGAGGACGTCTGGGCACGTCTGTTGGTGGTGCTGACCCAGCAGTACCATTTCATCCAAGTTGTATCAAAACTATTAGGGCCAAACTTTTTACTTGCGACATACAATAGGAAGACCGTAATTCACCGTAAGCATACAGTCGAATGTCCCGACGGGAGACCGCGATACACCGTCTTAGACTCTACCGGCTCTAACTGTAATGAGATCAGTATGCTGCGTGGACCACATAATTTGTGTGTCAAACATACATGTATACCGTGTGTAGTTGTAATCACCTTTCAATTCTATTGTATCAGAACTAAAGGTAGCTGTCAGGTTACGGACGTTAAAAGCTTCTTGGCTATCAAAATAATGTCACTTCATCTTTCCTCTCTTCTACGTAAGTCAACGACCCGCTGGAAGCGAGCAATACACGGAAAGGTGTGTCAGTTGATCCAAGCCTTCCTCAGAAAGCGTATGTATTCAGACGAAGAAATCCCGTTACACTTAGTAGGCCTTGTTGATCATTCCAACGCCGACTACTTCGATGGATTTATCGATGGATAATGTGGATACCATCGTCCTTGGATCAGCAGCTAGGAGTTTTGCTTCCTAACACACTTGCAATGGAAATTGTGTGGTGAAGCTGCGAGCTTTGGGCAAAGATTATGCGGTTCCGGCATGCTTTAATTTGATCAAGAAGCGATAACTCAACGCATAGCAATTATGGCTGCGTGTGAGCAAGGGGTATTGGGATTTCCATCGCAGAACATACCGAAGCCGTTTCCATCGTGACAATCATGGTGAAAAGCTTTCACGGGAACGAAGACGAAAATCTTGCGTTCTGACAGTGGGAAATTGATACGCTATCGCGATAGCTCAAATTCGTGATGATTGTAGTCAAGTGGCCTTTGTTATGTCGCATTTGGATAGCCGTGCGAAAGATTGGGCGATATCATGAAACATCAGCTACCCGGTTACTTTGCCACATGCCAAGAGTTGAATAGGGTCATGGAATTGATGTTCCTCCCGCCAAATGTGGCATTTTCGACAACGGTTGAAGTTTTTGTCATGCCTTTAAGACAACGGCACATTGTACAACTAAGTACAGAAGCTCGTGAGCTTCGCGCCGGTATGACAAATAAACAAATGTCTGAGGCAGTGATGGTCACTGTGTTTATGGAGGGACTCACTTATGGTCCTTTGAATTCTGAAGTCTTCCGCTAGAGCCCAACAACCCTGGAAAATGCAAGTATAATTGCATTGCGTGAGGACTACTGCCAATGTCAAGCATGTGATCTATCGGTCATCCCAATGAAAGCAGTGACTGCTGCTACTGGAGATATAAAATCAAAAGATCTTAGCGCTGTGACTGTCCGTAGGCAGCAAATCCGCCGTTATGGATGTCACTCACGAGAGATTAGCCCCATAAGGATTATTGCCCTTCGTTAACGACACGAGTCGAAGTGGTATATTCGTGCTCAAATTTGATTGTATTGATTGACACGTGTCGCGTAACTACGCACGGAAGCAAATTGTCGCTGGAATTGATTCAGTGCCTTATGCACTAGAAAAGAAGCAGTACCTCTATCGCAGTGAAGTTGGTCACTGGTGCGGTGCTCACCGCTAAGGAAGTTATTGCTAATCTTCAACTAAAGTGTGAAGTCTTTAACTCCAAGGAATTATTCACAACCCTTGAGATATTCGAACGGTCTGACCTGATTTTAGGTATACCTTGGCTTGAGAAGCTCGACCCTTGGATTGATTGGCGATCGCACCGATTAAAACACTAAATGTTATTTGAACCCACTCTCACTATGCACCAGAAGAAGCGCTCAAGCGCTCGGCAGTCGTATGCTGCTGGTAATGATTCATACTTCATTGGTATATGTCATGCTGTGTTATCTCCCAGGTTGGGGAAGATACGAAGCCGTATGGAGTGACCACCAGTGGTCACTCTGTAAGTGTGTCGATAGATCAAGTGGTGTCCGAAAATGGCCACTGCAAAACGAATGAATCGTTGGTGAGCATGGTAATTTGCCCAGCGGAAAAAAATTTGAGCAAGAGATGGCGGTTGTTGCCCCCAATGTTGTCGACATGTGTATAATGAAAAGTCAGAGGAATCGGCTGCCGCTGGATATGCCAATACTACTACTAAAACACTGGTTGAGTTGGATTGTGGGTCAGCGGGTAAAACTGACCACAATCATTCGTTGTGTGGCTAAACAAGCACATGAGAAGGAACCATAGGAAGTTGTTGATCGTAGGACTGATACTACCCCTCTGAAAGCTGTTGAGTCCGCGGATGACATAGTCCAGCGTACTATTCTCAAGATGGAATTGTAGCATGCGAATATGCAGTCTACGTATTGCAAATTCAACGACTGGTTGTGAAGTCACCGGAACAGATATTCTATTGCGCTGTTTTAATGATGAAAAAGCTGGTGCAGCTTGAGAAACTCACTTATGAGGATCCTACACGATTTCAAGTGTGATGGTATTGCGAAGGTCGTGTTGCTACAGTTGAACGTCGAATTCAGCGGAACTACAGTTATGGATGGTTTGGTTCTCAAAGAATTATGACAGAGCGTGGAATCACACAGAGGATCCGCTACTTTAAAGAGCCAGCTGATCCTTTTTATTCAGTTGTTATGGACTACAGGGATGACGGCATTAGCGCGAAGTCTTCAGCCCGAACGTGAAAGCCGACACGATATTGATTGTGAGCCTGGTTTAAAGCATACAGTGCCTCGACAGTGGCCTCTGTTGCGTGAGCAAAGTGGGTACATTGATAAGTTTTTGGCTCAAAGCAATCTGCTGGTTTGGTGAGGGAGAGCAAGCTTCCTCACAGCGCGCCAACCTCTAGTGTGCGCAAAGCAAATAGTAAATGGCGTATCATTTACGCCTACAATAAATTGAATTTGCAGACGATTTCTGCTCAAACGCCGGTTTCGCGAAGGGATGTCGTCATTGCCTCCGCAGCACCGAGGGGTGTATATTTTAGGCTCAATGAGCACAAGCGTCGCGCTCCGCACACGCTATCAGTGACGAACGACCTCGTTGAGGATGTGGGGTTGGTCGACCACGAGTCTGACACCCTTTTACCCGCATGGAATGACGAGGAAGGCGAGTTGCACCAGCAGCGTGATACGAGCCCTGCTTGCGCCTTGCAGACCCCATGTCCGTTCCCTGACTTCTCGTCACCTGAGGGACGTGGTGTAATCACT